GATGACATTTGTCTTGGGGAAAGAATTTAAATAAGCAGCCGAAGTAGTTAGGGATTGAGATGAAATTTGAAAATAAAGATTTTTTAAAAGTCTTGCACAATTGCAAGATGACAAATGGATGTGCTCAAATTGGCACATTGAGGACAGTAAGCAGACACTTTGCAAAAGAATTTATGGCACTGTTTGGGAAAGACAGCTTTGCCTATTTTATATCTTTTATTCACTTTTACATATGATATTTAGAATTCTGCAGCACTCTTCTTTCTGGACTATAAAGGAATACTAAAAATGACTTTAGCAAATTCATGAATTCTAAGGAGGGAAAGGGATATGAAGAAAAATAATAGGAAAATCATTTTCTTTCATTTAGCATCTTGACATGAAAGAAACATTCCCTATGTGAGTGGTTTAAGAATGGTTTCTACTCTAAACCAGTTCTCACTGTATCCGACACAGCATCTGGGAAATGCACATTGTTGTGTAAAGCGCTAAGGGATGCTCGACTTATTACAAGGCTCGAAATCCTATTTAGTCCTTGAGCCCCAGTGTCTCCTCAGTTCCACCAGTACCCTTGTGCACCAGAAGATGGAGTGACTTCTGGAGAGTACTTTTCAATCCAATGTAATTTTCATTTCTTCTGCCTTTTAAATAGAAGCTAGAGTGGGGCTTGGAAATTGTTGGACCAGCAGCTTTTTGCCTTTGGAATTACTCTTCCTTCCCCTTTGGATGACAGAGAGAAGTATTTTGGACCATAGACCTGACAGTCCATCAGAATCAATTACTGGACCTGATTCCTGTTCTCCTACACAAGCTTTCCAAAGAGGTGGACTTGGTCTGGTGAATGAGTGGGAGGTACTGGAACTCCTCCTGGGGTGGAGACGGGGAGAGAGCTCCCTCTGCTCTATGCAATCTCGGGTGCACGGACAGCAGACACAGCAGTGAGTGGTGATAGGACAGTAGGGAGCCAGGATCCACCACTTATTCCTCTTTCAGTCATCATAGAAATATTTACTGAGCACTTACTGTATGCCTGGCACTATTTTTTGCAGCCAAAGGAATTTGTTGAATTAGCCAAAAGTTTGTTGAATTTGCCAAAAAATTTGTTGTGATAACACAACAAAATTCTGTTTCAAGGAGCATGCTTTCTTGTGGAGGGGAGTCATATAAAATAGGATTATTATATAAATTTACATAGCTTGATATATAGTGATGGGAGCTAGGGAGAAAAATAAAGGAAGAATAGAGAGATACATCACATGCACGAGTGAGTGTGCGAGTTGTTGCACTTTTAGATAGCATGGCCAGGGAAGATTTTACTGAGAAGAAGGGTTTTGGAGTGAGGGCCTGAAGACACTGATGGGAACAACCTCAGATAGGACTGCTGGGCTTGGAAGATTCCAAGTAGTGGGAACAGTATGTGCCAAGGCCCTGAGATGGGGTTGTGCTTGGCCTATCTGAGCAGTGCCGGTGAGGCCAGTGTATCCACAAAACAGTAACCAGGGCTGTAAGAGATGAAGGTGAACGAGATGCAACAGAGCTCAGATCACTTAGCGTCTTTGGTTTTCATTTTGTGGGAGAGATAGTCATGAATGGTGGAGTGACCCGATCCCTCAGTTCAAGAGGAGCACATTGAGAATAAACTGAAAGGGAGGGGGAAGGGCAGAAGCAGAGAGATGAGTTAGGAGACAAGTACAATAATCTAGCTGAACTTGTCAGGGAAATAAGTAGCGGTTTATGGGCTGTTTAGTCTGTAACATATCCTTTACAAGCTTAGTTCCAACTACCAGAGCCAAACATTGCCTAAGCACTTCATTGTTTACCTAGAGTCAGGCTGGCACAGTGAAGCCGATGGAAAACGATTCCAAGTACAAGTGCATAAAACGGCAGGTTGCCCTGCTGCTTGGCACAGGTCTCCCATAAAGGATTCTTGTGTTTGTGTTGCTGGAAGTTTTGGCTCCTTTTCACAACTGCTAGAAAAGAGCCACAGTCTTCATCCTCCTTTACACTTTCTTACTAAAACAGCGCTGACCTAGTATGCTTATTTAGGAGCTTTGCCTGTTCTATTAAATTACACTTTATAGGAAATTTAAAAAGCTTCCTTACATACTGGGTTGGATCCTGGAACAAAAAGGGATATTAAAGAGAGAGAGGTGGGGGGGGGATAAAAAAAAAACTGGTGAAATCTGAATAAAGTTTGCATTTAGTGGATAGTTTTGTACCAAGGTTAAGTACTTCCCTTGTTAAACATACCCAGTCAATGGAGTAAATATAAAATGTTAACTCTAGAAGCAGCTAGGTGAAGGATGTATATAAACTACCTGTCCTGCCTATGCAATGTTCCTATAAATTTAAAATTATTCTACAGTAAGAAAATATTTCAAAAAGACCCTTGAAAGGGAAATCTAATCACAAAAGTATGAACATTTTGGAAGCTTTCTTTCTCAGAGACTAAAATGACCCACAGATACATGCTGCACTTGCTGATCATCTTTTTAATCTACTGGTGCATTAAGAACTAGGTTGTTAGCCGGGGATGTAGCTCAGGGGCATAAGCACTTGCCTGGCAAGCCTGAGGTCCTGAGTTCAACTCTCAGTATCAAAAAAAAAAAAAAAAAAAAAAAGAAAAAAAGGGCTAGGTTGTTCAGCATCACCATTAGACTATTACATTAGCGATCAACAGCATGGGTGAGAAAAAAGGACTAGGTTGTTATCTATATCATACAGTTAGATAATGACCTTTCTTCTTTAGCACTTTAGTTTAAACCGATTTTAAAATTTTTCCCTTGCCTCTGGGATTACATGCACACAGTTCACTTCTCCTTAAGGTGTACTGTGCCTGGGGAATGGATCTGCTGCAAAATTATTTGTCAGTGCAGAGTCGTACCATTCGTTGATTGTCCTTTTTTGCCCTCTTCCAATCTTCTATGTCTTCATTATTGCTATCCACCTACATTGTCAGTGAACAAACGTGATTGAATGCAAGTGATCCTTAAATATAGGCCCATTTTGTCCTTCTCTGCACTGAAGTCTGATCTTTGTTTACTGTGTTGAAGCTTTGGGAGAATTAGCCACTACACTAAAAAAAAAAAAAAAAAAACACTAAAAGAATTTGATAGCCTTGTCTGATTGTTTAAACCAGAAATAATGAATACACATGTCTCCAGGGACTCGGCAAGTGACATAAAGTGTGAGGCAATCAAGTGTAATGAATGGGAACACAGGCCTGCTCTATTGGATCTTAAAATGGCTCTTATTTGGATTATTTCTGGAAAGTTGTCACTTTTCTAGAAACTCAATGGAAAGTTTGAGCCTGTTTCCAAAAAGGAGCCTTCTAAATACAAGTTATGGATTAGTCAGGAAATAGAGGAAAATGTAACCAATTGCAGTTTGAAGTAGTAACCAGGGAGAAACAAAATTTAAGTTTCCACATAAGATGAAAAGAAAAAAGAAAAAAGATTGATGAGATCTTAACCTAACACTGAATGGCACAATGATACTGTGGGGTCTTCAAGTCTGTTTCCTAGCTATTTGGAGGGACAGCATTTAAGACATCATAGAAAGCTGACATGCTCTCAGCCAAAAAAAAAAAAAAAAAAAAAAATCTTTAGGAAGGAACTCTCTACTTACAAATATAACAAATGTATACACATGCCTTCCCGTGTGTTAGGCGAAGAGAGTTCTTCCTGGTGTCAGCTTTGAATTCCCCCTGCCATAAATGAAGCCCATGGTAGATTGGTAAAACTAACACTAATCAGAGTAACGTTACTAATACCTTAGGGAAGTGTTACTGAAATGTTTTGGATGCAAAGGATGAGGTTAAATATGCCAACAAGATCCAGACCACAAATACATACAGGAAGCGTGAGGAGATGGAGCAACCAGCCATGGCCTTGACTCTCCTGTGTACCCCGGATGTGCAGGTCCAGGAACATAGTACCTTCTTGGACTCTCTCAGCAAAAAAAGCTGCAAAGAGCTGTGACTGGCTGAACACTACCGCTCACGCAGGTAGGATCCTCGGGAATCCTGGCGTCTCCTCCTCCACTCCAAAGCAAGTTTTGGTCACAGCTCTGCAGCCACACAGCCTAACTACGCAACAGCATTTCTCACCTACATCACAGAACCAGGATGATGTCAGAAAAGCTCATCCCCAAGGCCAGATAGTCAGCTGGAAGGCTGGAGAACTGCCGCGACGCTGTATCCAGCCCAGCCTGCACTTCCCCTTGACATCCACAGCCTAAAAGCAGGTTAAATTGCCACAGTAAATCCACCCTACTTTCACTTTAGCACACTCTTCTACAGGGCAAAGGCTTCAGTAATAGCCCTGAGTGGAAGAAAACCTCTGCAACCATCCTTTTTATGCCCAAGGATAGACGTTTTAAATTTGGGACCTGGGGCTAGTTTGCTCTTCCAGTTTAGATTGAGAAGTAGATTCAAACAGAGGCATTTGGAAGTGGGAAGGCTGGCACTTATTTAAGGAACCTGGCTGGCTCTGGAGGCCATAGTCCTGTGTGCTATGGACATGCATTTCTCTATGATTCTACGCCACACCCTTGTTAAGAAAACAGCCAAGCCCCTTCCTACCATATAAACAGCAATAGGGCCGTGCACAGAGGACAGAGAGGGATTTTATCTTGAATATCTATTGATCACTGTTAGTGATACAATAGCACAACTGATATTTTCATTCTTTTCAAGCCACTATGGCAGTTTAACTGATTTTAATTAAAAATATTTTCCAGATATATTTAAGGAAATCCATTTGAGGGGGTCAGCAGCAGTCAATAGCTATGGGTTAGCCTACTGACACAGAGGGCTGAATGTTTATTTGTTCAAATTCTAGGAAGAAGTTGGAGCTGAGTGTGGTGAGGCAGGCCTGTAATCCCAGCACTCTGGAGGCTGAGGCAGGAGGATCGCTGCAAGTTCGAGGCCAACCTGGGGAACATAGTGAGTTCAAGACCAGCCTGAACTGCATAACAAGACTCTGTCTCAAAAAAAAAAAAAAAAGTATTTGAAAAAGAACTTGGACATTCATTTCTCTGAGGTCATGTAAATGAATCTTGTTTGGCTGCAGGCAAAAAGAGCGAAGGTTAGCAATCCCTCCCACCGCGTGGGGCTACGGGAGACGGACTGGTGCTCCCCGGTCTCCTCACCTCCCCCCAGGCAGCAGGTGCGGGCTCCACCGGAGGGTAGTACTTGGGCACGTCCCAGGCCACTGCAGCCATGAACCATTTGAAGTCCTTGCACTTCAGCTGTTTGCGCAGCTCCTTCTGGGCTGAGATGTCCCCCGTGGAAAGGTGCCGATATTCGGGCCGCCGCTGGTAAATGTACTCTGCGAATTCATCCATCCATGTCTCAGCCACCCGCTTCAGGTTCTGTGCAGGGGAAAAAGAAACATCTATTGACTTCTGCGCTCAAAGGGTGGTTTTAGTTCCACCAGAAGTGGAAAAGAGAAAAGTAAAAGAAATAAGACAACAGCAGGAAACTCCGGTGGGTGGCTTGTCAACAATGACAGTTTTCCTGACTGCAGGGAGTGTGAAGGAGGAGCCTGTGGCTTTGCACCCGTTCTGCTTCTGGCATGGGGTTCAATAGCCAATTTGGCAAGTAATGTATCAGAGCCGGTGAAGCTTATATCAACTTTCTCACTCCTGTTATTTTAGGAATATATCTGATTACATATGTAACATGTAGAATATATTATATTTCATATGAAGCTAAAGGAGGAAAATTGGAGGGAGTGAAGTTCCTCTTAGCAATCAAATGGCTTAAAGCATTTCAAGAAACAGACACGTTGGAAAGAATGAGGACAAACAGGAGTTACTTGTTTCTTTCAAGTATAGAGGGAGAACCTGACATTATTGAATTCAAAGCTTTGTCCTGATACTGTCATATGTATGTCCATCAGAATTCAGTAATTCACTGCATGATGTTAGCGCTAAGGAGATTACCGGAAGCCGGTCTTCTGGACAGAGGTTTCTCTGGAGTGAAGGAAGAGAAAGAGTGATGTATGGGAGGCAAGCACATTCCTTAGAAGTAGAAGAGTGTGGGTGATTCAGAATAGGAACTCAGCCTTTGTGTCATTTCTGAGCTTGATTAAGTGATTTCTCCACACTGGGTCATTCACTTGCGAATAGCAACAATAATATGTACCTAGATCATGGCAGTGGGTGTTGGGTTAAGTAAGGTAACACCCGTAGACTGCTCAGAATGGTATCTGGCACACAGTAGGTACTATGGAAAATAAAGCTGTAATAATGGTAATAATAATAATGACAATAATAATAATAATAAGTAGTAGTAGTGGTAGTACTAAAATAATGTGACGGATTGGATGTTAGCAAGCAGGGGTATTGGGCTTGGCCGCAGATGATACAATGTCCTTACTGCCTTTGAGAAGGGCTTCAGTGGTGCTGGGATGCTCTCTGACACCACTTCCAGTCCTAAAGTGCTAAGTGATAGAACAATTGTATTTGTCTAGAAGTTTTGAAGCCTCCATGTTTAAATGCATTTTCAGAGGCTGATGTGCCATAGTTTCTGGTTCTAGTTATTGCTGATTCGAGGTTCTTACTAGTGCTTGGTTGGCTTATATTAACATTCCCTAGTTTCTCATTTGCACTTAGAAGACAGAATGAGCTCAATGGTTGGGAAATTCAGTAAGACCTGCACACAAGTGAATAAAGTGAAAACTAGTGATACTTAGAAAAATCACTATTTTAAAAATTGCTAGGAAACCTAATTCAGGCCTGAGACAATGCCCAGAGGTCAGCTGGATTTGGAGTCATAATTATTGACATCTTACCCGTACTAGGATTGTACGCTCTGCCTCCAGTGACTGCCATTTCTGGCCCTTGGCCGTGCTCTCCATTCTGCATGGACTTTTTGGTTACTTTGGTCAATGAGGAGCCTAAAGAAAGTCTCACTTAATTCAGAGAGATGCAGAAAAGAGCAGGGCCATAAAGACTGCTCTGGTTTCTGGGCTTCTTCCATTCCTGCCTTTCTGAGATACCTGATGCATAGATAGGAGGGCAGGGAAATCATATTAACAGTGTAAGAATCATCCCCGGAAGAGCGATTATTTACTGGTGTTGGCTGTGTAATGCCTCTTCACCGTTGTTTCACCCAGAATGCTTTCCATTCCTCTCACTCCAGTTTCCTTCGACAGGTAGTCAGAGTCAACCTTGTTTTGTAATATTCTACCCCTTGCCATTGCCTCTGAATCACTCAATTGATTTGGGGGTACGAAGGGAACCAAACAGTGTCCGAGGCCCTATAGTGTGAAAGCATCATCTACTACATCCTCACACGAAAACTAAGTGTGAGTCCTCAGTGTCATCTTGTCACTTACATTTCAGGTTGGCAACTGTTTTGTATGAGATGCATTTTATTTTTGTTTGCCTTCAGGCAGATCATTTTTATGATGATTAGCTAAAATGATAGAGTGGAAGACAGAATGGAAAGAATTAGTCAATAATCTTATAAACGCTTTATTTAGAACAAAATTTGGTTTTTGGTTGTAGTTACAACCTTTATTTCCTAAACTGCAATTATTAAATATAGTGCAAATATTTAATTTTCACCTCTTTTACCTTTCTCTAAGTGAGAGAGAAAAGTCAGGAAGAAGCAGAGGCAAATAGACAAATTACTCAGGAATAAGGAGAAAGTGACTTTATAAAGGGGGAATATGCCTTGAAAATTCTGATAGCTGGAAAAAAGATTTGTCATGAAGTGATTTGGGTAAATAAGAGCTTTTAAACTGTAAGTGCCATGGAGTTAGAGATATCCATTTTTCTCATTAAGTGTCCAACACCTCTTGTGGTTCCAAGCACATGTTAAATCATTTGGACACTTTCATCTCTAATAATTAGGCAAAAGATCATAATATAAAACAAATGAACAAATGGATAGCATGTCTATATATCTATTAATAAAGACACTGTTCTGTGAACAGAACACAGGTGCCATTGCTAAAATGTAGATTTTTGTTTCTTTGTTTTTTGTTTTAATATACTTTTTGATGCATGGTGAATATATTCACCCTGGGGAGGTGATACATATACATATGACTTCTTAATCCTTTTTACTTCCCCTGCCCTCCCTCTATCCCTAGACTGCCTTCCCATCTCCAGAAATATACCTTCCTATGTCCTAATATCTATCTTTTATTTTGATCTTTAAATATTTGTTTACAAATTTTCTTTCTCATATAAGAGAAACTGTGCTATGTTTAACCTTTTCTGTCTGATTTATTTCACTACTATTATGATCTTAAAGTGCATCTATTTTCTTACAAATTCATCCTTATTTATGGTTGAGTAGTAATATACCACATTTTCTTTGTCCATTCATCTGTTTATGGATGTATAAGCCATTTCCAAGATTTAATTATTGTGAGCTGTGCTGGTTTTCTTTGAGTTTTTGAAACACTAATGGAAGTTATTGCTAAAATTCAGAAAGCAGTTGGTCAGTACCGATGCATTCAAGTGGAAATGACTCAAATGGTGATAGGATGTACTAGCCAGGATAAACAATACCAGTAAATAAAAGAGGTTGTAGGCTGTGAGAGGAAGTTGGTAAATTGATAGCTTCAGGAGAGCTGCAGTGCAGTTAATCAGGGGACGAGCCAGTCAGCTCCGCTTTATCATGTCCTTTCCAAATCAAAAGACACCACATTGCAAGTTATATTTGCTGATTTACTAAATACACCAAATCATGATCACAGACATTTTCAGCACTAATATCAAATCATGGATTCCCTGTTTTGTAGTTTTTCCGGAGACAATAAAAGAGAAACAGCATCATAATTGCAAAGGCTGCAATAGCTGACTTCTCTCTAGCTCTAAACATAAAGAAAACATTCTAGCCTTTCTCTAATGTTCTGAAGGACTCATTACACAACTTTGATTCTAGGTGCTGTATTCACTGAATAGAATTTCCTGTCAGAAGGAAACTATCTTTTTAAATTGTGGCACTGAGGAGAGGACCTTGCACAGGCAAGTGCTTTACCACTGAGCTACATCCCCAGCCCAGAAAGAAACTCTCCGAACGATTATTATGGTCAAGGTTTGAAACTCTGAAACGATCCAGGTGTCTAACCAAATAAAACTCCTCTGAGGCCATTACTCCAGAAATAACAATGTGCTATGTTAATTTGTCACTGTAATGAATCAATACTTGATTTTTAGGAAAACGTTAAAATTACAGCTGAGAAATATTGCATGCGGTTACAAGAAAAATTTTGTTGTTTTCTTTATAGATTGTGGAATAAACTCAGTCACTCCAGGGAAGAATTATAATCATATACCCACTTGAGCTCATTGAAGTAAAGGAGGACGTACACACAAATTCAAATACATGGAGGAAACAGGGTGAGCGCAAAAGAGTATTTTTTCCTTAAATGTTTATAGCTGTACAAACTTGTGCAGAAGCACAAAACTGAGACATTCCTGTAACATTTCTTCCCAGAGATGGTAGAAAAGAAAAATAATTCCGTCTGAATTGGCCCATCTGCCTCTAAGATTGAATAAATGTTGGTAAAGATGCTCAGATGTTCAAAACTAGTAATCAAATGAAACAAGTGTGGACGCCAAGAGATGATCTATACCTGCAATCGTTTACTCTTGAACTACGAGAAGTTACATCTGTAGAGGTTGTCGTATATGCACAGAGCCAGGTGTTAGCTGGATTTCTCTCTCTGTTTTTCTTGAGATTTAAACAAATGTGCTTTAATGTCAAAGTGTAAGTCTTTGCCCCCCTCAAGATTTCTGTGGGTTCTTATAGGGGTGTGTGTCTCATGTGCATTCTTTACTTCAGCTTCCTACTTGGGAATATTTTCTTCTGCTGGAATCTTGCCCAGGGCTTACTCTCTACCCTCTGACCTGCAGATCCTCCAGTGGGGAATGCAGATTCTTTTCCTCATCTATCAAATGCTTCTCTAGGAGTCTTCTGGGTGTTCACTTTTCCTGAAGTGTTTCAGGCAGTGAGAGACTCAGCGACTGAAGAGAAACACTGATGATGTAAGATGAAATATTTGGCCACCTGGATTCTTTCAAGCAATTTGGTTGCCATAGGAAATTTCTCCCTGAACAAAATTTCCTTCTTTAATGGGTGGCTTCCTGCCCTGGTGCCAGCCTCTTCAAAATTCTTGTCCTATGTCTCGTTTGTAAGGCTGTACCAGAGTATCACGGTTTCCTCTCCCTTTCATGTGTATCAGCTCGGCTTTCTCATGGTCTCTCCCTGCTCGTCTTGCACAAACCCTGAGGGCTGCTTTCCCATAACTAAAATATCCTTTCTGGGTGTTTTGCTAAAGTTAATTCTCCTAACCTAAATTTAAGTGCTGGTCTATGAATTATACCCCACCCTTTCTGTTTTTTGCTATGTAAAGATTGCCCACTGTTTAAGATATTACAGAATAGGTTCATATCTGAGTCACTTTCCTCATCATTAGGACAGAATATGACACCCACAGCTTGAAGGAGGAGAGGTTTATTGTGGCTCCTGGCTGCAGTCCGTGGTCAGCTAGATCCAGGCAGAAAGGGTGTGGCAGGCGGGCAGAGTGGAGGAAAGTGGCTGCATTATGGTGGCCAGGAAGCAGGGAGAGAAGGGAGGAGCTGAGGAGGGAGATACAAGCTTTCAGGTCGCTTCCCCAGTGACCTGGCTCTAACCAGAGCCTGCTTCCAACAGCATGGCAGATGTGAACTCATCAGTGACGAGGACCGCAGCCCCACGCTCCAAATACAGGCAGATTTGGGCGCACATTTTAGGTCTCAACCATAATAATCCCTAACAGCTCTAATTCAGTTTTCTTACACAAAACCTGTTTATATGAACTGCTGTAGTCACCATCTCTGAAAATGCAATTCCTCCCTGCCTTTGCCTGTAACAGCACCTCTCCTGAAGACCCCCAGCACCTTCTCCTGCCTGTCTGATCTCAGCAACTCCTTGAAACTCTTTTCTTATGTCTCCCAATTGAGTTGTCAGATAAAATGCATGCCACCTAGCTGCATGTAAATTTCTGGTAAGTAATTTTAAAATATGAGCATCATACTTGAATTATTAATAGTCGACTGCAGTGCTTATGGTAAAAGTTATTTGTTTCTCTGAAATTCAAATTTAGCTTAGCAACTTCTATCCTTATTTGCTAAACCTGGCAACCCTGCTTCCAGTATACATAATTTACGTATAATATGTGCCCCGTGAATGTTTTTTTGATTCATTAAGTGACTGTGTGTGCAGAATCCGGCATATTTTGATGTTATTGCCAGTACAGAGTGAATGTTTTGCTTCTGTGGAAATTATCCCAGAGAAGTTTCAAGCAGCTCTGCTGAAGAGTCTGATGTAATACACTGCTTATATAATATAAACATGCAATCCCACTGCTTTTCAGGTTCTAACCGGCGGGATCCTGCTGGCCCTCTGTCTGTGAAGCAAACGGGACGCAGCCACAGAGTTTAAGAAAACAGCGGAGCTAACTGTAGCTACAGGCAAGGGCTCAGCATGCTAGAATGGTTGGTTTAGGCCGTGACCCTAATCTCAGTCTGAATACAAATAGTAGATGAAGATTTCAGTCTGAATATCTGAGCTGGGCTTTGTCCAGGACCCAGTTTGTGTAGACAAGGCAGGTTGGGGAACAGGGCCAATCCTGTTCAAGTTGGATCCAAAGAGTTTTCACCTAGGGGAAGTGCCCTGTACGGAAGTAATGCAACAGTCTGAGAAAGATAGCTACCGGAGCTGAAGAATAAATTTGTGTTGTGGTGTAGAAAGCTACTGAAAAATTTCTCTATTTTTAAAAGCTGCAGACGTTCATACTTCTCGAATGATAAATGAAATAAAAGCTCTTATTCTGAGTACCTTCTAAGTACAAGATGTTTTAGCATGCTCTGTTGTTATGACACTCTTCTGCAATTCCTTGTGTATTAGAACATGTTTCTCTGTTAAACACACACTGGTATTAATCTCTGCTTATGTATGTTGCCCAAATACTTGTTAACACATTTAACACATGCAGCTTTATTTAGAGGTCGTTAGCATGCAACTCTTCCTTTTCTTGCACTACCCAGTGCTAAATCTTTCCTTAATTCTAACAGGATTTCTGAATCCTAACAGAATTGAATTGATTGAATTTTAACAGGTCTTTGAATTGATATTGTACCAGGCACACTAAATCACGTTTCTAGCTCAGTTCGTAAGAACGGATTTCTAGCTCTGACTGTTTATCTTCATTGTGCAGCATGAGGAAAATAGATGGTTCCATTTTTCCTGTTGGTTCCTGATGCTGCATAAACCTATCTGCTAATTATTTATTTATTTTTGGTCCCAGCAACATTTAGACCCCACTGTGCTATTATTTTAAAAGTATAATCCCTGCCCAGTTTCTCAATGTGGCATTTGCAAGTTGATTGTTTTTCCTGCCACGAGGCAGTCCCTTGCATTTGTATTATCTGGGCCACCTCACTCGGTAGCATGATTCTATTTCTTTGCACAGGGCACGATTATTACATGTGCACCGGTGTGACCCCAATCCACACGCTGTACTTGTGTCAGTATTAAGTTGTTGTGTTACAGTGGGTGAGTAATAGATTTCTCTTTCTTCATATTTATATATATATATATTTTTTGGGGGTGCTGTGCTTCCCCCTAAAAATGGTGTAGCAAAGCCAGTCTCACGTAGAAACAATTTCTTATTTGTCACAGTCACTCCTATAGCAAGGAATTACATCACTAAGCCACGACTTAAAAAATTCTGCTTGGATTTGAATGCATTTTTTGGTCTCCTCTTTGATGTTTAAGAGGGACTTAGTGGCTCAGTCTTCCTCCCCCACAGCCCTCTTATCACTGATAATGTGATAATGTCATCATCACTGTACGGCTCAGAAGAGAATCTCTTTGAGGGAGCCCCAACCGCACCACAATTATCCAGCCAAGCTCTGCTTCTCTCTGATCTGAAGGCTTCTTTGAAGTCAGCGGGGAACCTTCACGCGGAGGGAAGAGGCTAGTCCAGTTCTGCGAAGACGGCGTCTCTGACAGGCAGCTTCCCCTTCCTTCTTCCCCAAGGCTGGAGGACTGTTTGTAGGTGGTTCTGAACACATTTATTTTTTTCTTTGATTTTATATCTCTATTATGCCTGTGCTTAAATATTTTGGATATTTATGGTAGCGTTTATGAAAACATTTAATATAATTTTTAGATATAGGACAGAAAGCAAACAAACCAATTCCCTGAGTGATTTAATAATGCATCTTATTAAAAAATGCTTGTAAGCATAACTATAAAAATAACGTTATCTATTTATTCTTGCATAATGGGGATAGAACCCAAAGTTTTCACACTGAGCTGCATTCCCAGTTGCTTTTATTTTATTTTATTTTATTTTATTTTTTTGTTTTAGGACAGGGCCTCATTAAGTTGCTAAATTGCTTAGGGTGGGATGGAACTTATGATTCTCCTGCATCAGCCTCCTAGAGTGCTGGGATTAGAAGAGTGTATCACTGTGCTAAGCAAAAACAGCTTTATTGAAGAATAACTGATATACAGAAAAATTGCTCCCGTATAAAATATATAATTTGGCCACTTTGAAGTGCCTGTGAACTTGTGAAATCACCACAATCACGATAATGGAAATATCCATCCTCCAAACGTTTCCTCCTGCCTCTTTGACATCCCTCTTCTCATTTCCGTTCTGTGGCAGCTTTGTATCTCCGGGCAACCAGTGATAAGGTTTTTGGCATTGTAAGTTAATTTGTATTTTCTAGGATTTTATATAAATAGAATCATAGAGCACACACTCTGTCTAGTTTATTTCATGCACACGGGTGGTTTCATGTCTTCTTTTCTTTTGTATTCCATGTAAATATGCTATAATTTGTTTATCCATTTTCTCATTTTGTGGGTTATTTCTAGTCTTGGGCTATTGCCTATAAAGCTGTTATGAACAATTTTATACAAGTTTTTGTGTGGATATTTGCTTTCATTTCTCTTGGTAAATATCTTGAAGTAGAGTGGTTGGATTACTACTAGGTATGTCTAACTTTTAGAGAATCTGCTAAATTGTTTTCCAGAGCGATTGCCTGTTTCACGTTTTCATCAGCAGAGTACGACCATTCTGGTTACTCTCCGCCTTCCCGAATCCATGTTATGGTCAGTCTTTAATTTTAACTACTCTAAAATCCTGTAGTAGCATCTCACTGTGGTTTTAATTTACATTTCCCTAAAGACCCAGTGATGTTCATCCTCTTCGCATGTGCTTCTTTACTTCAATAGTTGAGCCTCAGATATGGTAAGCATGCACTCTGCCACTGAGCTACCACACCTCTAGCACTTGTTTTTTATTTTTAAATATTGAATTTTGAAAATTCTTCATATATTCTGAATACAATTTGCTTCCAGTCTTTGTCTTGTACTTTTATTTTCTTAACTGTCAATGCCACTGAAGTGTAGAAATCTTCTTTCCAAAGAAGTTCAATTCATCAGTTTTTTCCATAGAAGAGAGTACCGATATATCACGTTTAAGGAAGTTTTGGCTAATTTTGCAGAAAGTTCTTGTTTGTTTTCTAAAAAGCATTATAGTTTTATCCTTTACATATATCTCTGATCCATTTTGAGTTAATTTTTGTATATCATGTAAGATATGTATTCAAATTTATTTATTTTTTTAGGTACAGCATTTTCTTAGTATTATTTGTCAAAAGACTATCTCTCTTCCCATATACCTTTATACTTTGCTGAAAACAAATTAAACCTCTGTACAAATCCATCTCTGGGCTCTCTATCCTCTTCCAGAAATGGAGTTTTACATGTAACTATCAGGTTGTTGTTATTATTGTTGTTGAGTTGTAGTAGTTTTTCAATATTTATATTCTGGATATTAACTGCTAATCAGGTATATAATTTGCAAATTTTTCTCTTATTCCTTGTTCTTTTAAACTCCTTTTTATTCTGTTGATACTGTCCTTTGATGTACAAACTAGCTTAATTTTTAAGCTTCAAGTATGTCATGCGAGGTAATCATGCCACCTATGATAAAATTATACAGAATTTTGCTGATGAAAGACTGGTAAGCAGAAATAGCTGAATTAGCTATCTACCAATACATAGCAAATGATGCTTAAAACAATAATGCAAGCTTTTTATTTTCACGGTTTCTGTGGGTCAGAAGTGGTTTGGTTGGACAATTTGGTTTACATTTTTAAATAGTTTCAGCTAGATTTTACCAGAGAAAGTAATCATCCTGAGCTTTGAATGGGACTGGAAGTTCTAAGGCATCTTCTTCACACATCTGTCACACTGGTGCTTGCTAAGTAGCAGGACTCAGCTCTTGCCTGTACGGGACTTTCTACAGGACCGCTGGAGTATCCTCATGATTTCACTGGCTTCTCTCCAGGCAAGCTTTCTACAAGAACATAGTGGAAGCTCTCTTGGCTTTGGAAGCAAAAAATAGGATGATAGGACAAAAATAAAAATACGCTTTACTTAATGGTTTTGGACTAGGATCAAGGACCCAAATATGATGGAATTATGTTTGACTTTGAAGCTCTAGAAAAGTGGAGATAACCAGAAGCTGTTGGAATTGTTGGAGTGAGATCATAGAAACAGTAGTCCTCTGAGTGTGAGAAAGCACATGATTCACAGCTGGAAGATGGCCATGCTGATGGAATCCATCTAGGACCCAAAGATGGTCTGGCAAGGAAGAACAGAGACAGTGCCACAAACTAGAAGTCAAGGCTCTCACTGTGCATGGTGATGATGATGTGTCTTCTCCAGTGATGTCAAAGGCAGGAGATAAAGAGCTGGAGCCAAAAAAACAGATGGGAAGGTACTGCATCTGACAGTTAGGTACATGAGCAACTGAGGAGGAGCCTTTTGGGGTGGTCCAGAGACACACTGGGACAATCCAAAGGGTGTTTATTTTTGACAGTCAAGCCGGTAGTAGTATAAAAAGAAGAATGAGCCTATTTCTAAATGATTGTTATCCATTCATTTGGTATTTGTTTTTGTAAATCACAACAGTATTTCTAACTAATAGCCAAAGAGATTATCAAGAATCATAAGAACATCCACAGCAAGAATTCAGAGAAACTCACTACCTGGAATGGCGCTATAACATTTATTCCAATGGTCATTAATACACCCTGCATCATTCTTATGCTTTCAAAAACAGCAGGAAAAATGTGCCATGCTTCCAATTTCTCACTGAAGTGGTCTTATATCAAATTATACCTATTCAAAGTTTAGGCAAACTGTGAAATTTTCACAATTAAAATTCCAAGAGCTTCCAGACACCGCACAGCTACCTTTTCACTTTTGACCATTTCTCAGTTTATAAATCAGCAAGGGGAACAACTTTCTGTATATCACCTAGCACTCAAAAGGAGATATATGTGGGCTAGAATTGCAGTTGGAAATGGAATTCTTGCTATGAACTAATGAAGTATTAGAAACAAGGCGATTAGAATGGAAATAAAATAGCAGTGGCTTCAAGCTCATGGTCATTGGGTATTCACATAGCTCATGGAAAGAAGCTATATTCCACAAAATGGATTTCTCCTATCCAAGTGCTTCTGTGGGTTTGTCATGCCAATGGGATCCTAGAAGGCAGGGTTACAGCCAAAGCAGCCAGCTCTGCTCCTCCTTGCAAGAGTTGTGGTTTTGGTTATTGAGATTATGGCATGCTAAAATATTTTAATCTGCTTAAATTTCAGCAGTTTAACTTTGTAGCAGCAGGAACCTATTTTGTCTGAAGTTTCATTGCTCCTGAGACTCCAGTGGAGCTGGGAATGCCAAAAAAT